CTTCTAGTTGACACTCCACCGCGAAGATATGGCTATAGCAAGATCCAACCTCCAAAACATAAACTCAAAGCTCCGCATTGATAACTTCTTCACACCAGCTCCATTAAGACTGAAGTTTTGCGCGCATGTAAGCTCAACCAAAGTCAACTACATCAACAAATGTTAGCTTCAATTGACAATCCATTGCGAAGTTATGGCTACCGCAATATCAAGACTCCAAAACCTAAACTCAAAGCTCCGAATTGACAACTTCTTCACAGCGGCTCTGTTGACGTTACAATTTTGCAGGAATGTGCACTTGGCTCAACTCAACAATCCCAACAAATTTTTGCTCCAATTGACACTCCATCTCAAAGATATAGATACCGCAAGGTTCAACCTCCAAAACCTAAACTCAAAACTTTGAATCGACAACTTCTTCACACTTTCTTCGTTTAGGCTAAAATTTTGCACACATGTGAGTTCAGCCTAAGTCAAAAACCCTATCAAATTTTAGCTCCAGTTGACATACCACCTCGAAGACATGGCTACTGCAAGATCTAAACTCCAAAACCTAAACTCAAAGCTCCGAATTGACAACTATTTCACATCGCCTCCGTTGAGGTTGAAATTTTGCACGCATGTGCGTCCAGCCAAAGCTAATAGCGCGATCAAATTTTTGATCCAGTTGACAATTCAGTGCAAAGATATGGCAATCGCAAGATACTGCCTCCAAAACCTAAACTCAAAGCTCCGAATTGACAACTTCTTCACACTGCTCCGTTCAGGCTGAAATTTCGCAAGCATGTGCGCCAGGCCAAAATCAATAACTCCATCAAAATTCAGCTCCAATTGACATTCCACCGTGAAGATATGGTTATCGTAAGATCAAGACTACAAAACCTAAACTCAAATCTCCGAATTGACAACTTCTTCACACAGCCTACGTTGAGGTTGAAATTTTGCGCGCATGTGCGCTCGGCCAAAATCAATAATTCCTTCAAATTTCAGCTCCACTTAACGCTCCACCTTGAAGTTATGGCTACGGCAAGATCATGACTCCAAAACCTAAACTAAAAGCTCCGATTTGACAACTTTTTCACAGTGACTTTGTTTAGAATCAACTTTTGCACGCATGTGCGCCCGGCTGAAATCAATAAAAGCATTAAATTTCAGGTTCAGTTCACACTCTACCGCGAAGATATGACTACCGCAAGATCAAGCCTCCAAAATCTAAACTCAGAGATCCTAATTGACAACTTCTTCACACCAACTCCATTGACGCTGAAATTTGGCACGCATGTGAGGCCGGCCAAAGTCAACAACTCAAATAGATTTTAGTTCCAGTTGACAATCCATCGCGAAGATATTGTTACCGCAAGATCAAGACTCCAAAACCTTAATTCAAAGCTCCGAATTGACTACTTCACACCAAATTTATTAAGATTGAAATTTTGCATGCATGTACGCGTAGTCAAATTCAATAAGCCTATCAAATTTTAATTCTAGTTGATATTCCATTGTGAAGTTATGACTATCGCAAGATCTAGTCTTGAAAACCTAAACCCAAAGCTCCAAATTGACAACTTCTTGACATCAACTCCGTTAAGTTTGAAATTTTGCATTCATGTGCGCGTGGCCGATATTAATGATCTCACAAAATTTATACATCCAGTTGACACTTCACTGCGAAGATATAGTTATAGCAAGATTGAAACTTCAAAATTTAAACTCAAAGCTCCGAATTGACAACTTTTTCACATTGCCTCCATTGAGGCTGAAATTTTGCAAGCATGTGTGGCCGTCTTAAATTAACAATTTCAACTAATTTTAGCTTCAATTGACACTCTATTGCAAAGATATGGCTACCGCAAAATCTTGACTTTAAAATTTAAATTCAAAGCTCAGAATTGACAACTTTTTCACACTAGCTTTGTTGAGACTGAACTTTTGCAGGCATGTGCGCCCGGCTGGAGCTATCATCATTATGATGATAATGATACATATGAATATCATAAATCATAGCTCACATAATAGATCAAATTCATATAAACAATATGTGTAATATATTAGTATTTTACAAGAAACATATAAAAAATGACAATAAATTCACAACAAACACAAATAAACACTAGACACGAGATGTAACGTGGTTCTACTTTTAAGGGCTACGTTCATATATCAACATATATGTTCTTTTCAAGTCGGAATAGCATGGACTTTTTTCTTTGTACAGGTCAATGTCAGCATCTGAGCTTTGAATAAGGCACAAAGGCGAGAATATACAACATTTATGAATAACAGGTGAAGAGTAATTTCAGTCCATAAGCCTTGGGATTACATATCCCTAGTTTAGGCGGTGACCTAACTAAAAATAACTGTTATGTTAACTCTATCTTCAATTAACTCTAGTTAGTGATAACCATATTAGTAAGTTAACTGTGGTTAGGTTATGTTAGGTTAGATTACCTTCTCTCTTCTTGTATATAAGAGAGAAGGAGACTCTCTCTGCGTACAGTTCAAGATAGCACTGAGAGAGTGAACAGTAAGGAGTAGCGCTTGGCTATCGAGGCCGTGTATACATCAAAGCTTTAGTGAAGTTTCTGCTCTTGCCCGTAGACGTAATCTATTAAAGGTGAACCACGGTATCTCGGTGTTGTAACTGTCGTGCGTGCTGATCGATCTATTTGTTAGGATCTTTCAATAACTAGCTAGAAGTTATTCCAAAACACACGAGTCAATCTCAACAATCTTCCCTTTTACTCAGGTTGAAAAAATATAGTAAACTCAAAATCTTATATTATTTCTATGCGGAAAATTCCATAAAGCAATCTAACACATGACAACTCTTGTTAACCAATAATTAACTACAATTAAGCCGTAACCATAATATAATAGAGTAATAATATAAAAAGATAACTAAAAAACCTGCTAGCATAGAGAAATTAGTAAACTCAATAATCTATATAAATGCTCTACAAGAAAATTTAGAATGAAACCTAACACAAAGCCACTCCTTAACCAAAAATTAACTAATACTAACATGTAGCCATAACTAGATAGAATAATTATACAAAGAGCTAATTTAAGTACTATGCTAGCAAACTCAAATTTTGCTTCTCGTGCACAGCCAACATAGTAGCACAATGTTGACTAAAACTCTTCAAAGTAATAATTTTGATCAACGCATCAGCTGGATTGAGTTTATCATTTATCTTAACTAACTCAATTGTTTTACAGTATCAAAAATTACTTGTCTTATAAAATAAAACCTGATGTTGATGTGCTTCAATCTACTGTACACAATCCGGTTTGTAGCCAAATGTATAGTATTTTGGTTATCATAGGCCATTTTATGACAAATAGTACTCCTTGGAATTAAAATGTTATGCATAGTTCATCAATGGAGGAAAAACTTCGACTTTTTATGTGGCTAGTCTTGCCACATCTCCAACAAGTTACCGTCTTGCTCTTAAAAAACTTATCACTAGATTGGATTATCATTCTCTCAAGGATTGTACTCCTAGATTTGGATCTCATCCACTTGGATCCAACATTCCGCCAATCGTTGACACCCCTTGAAAGTTCTTCAACTCGGATCACAATCAATGTCATCTCAGATCTGCATGTTGAGATGATGATATCATCTCTTGTTTCAATTTATTTTACAAGAAATCACTTACAGCCTTGTTATAAATGATGATGTTTGTATTACGATGGAGTAGTATCCTTGATAGTGTCTAGCTGGTTGATAGCAACAAGCTAAGAAGATGTAAAGGCTTCTTCGCGTTGAAAATCTCACCCCCTATCTCTTTGGAGATCTATCACCAGATCACTGAAGGCATGAATATAATTTTGATTCCAGATAAGAACCTCATCTTGAACTTCAGCAACTTCATGTATGTATACAACATATTGGACATTTTTTTCTAATGAAACCTTTGCTGAAGGGCGTAAAAAATTTGTGTGGCTTCATACATCTTTTTACAATCCTCATACACCAAGATAATTTGACAATAAATCAAGTCATTTATGATGTTCATGATATTATATTTGACTGATACACTAAATAAAAAATTCATGCAACGTCAAATAAAAAATCAGATTGAGAAAATATCACGAATGTATTCTATCATTTTAAGACAAGAATATAATTTTCATGCATTATCATGAGATGTAGTATAACTATCAAATAAAATGGATATATGCATTCTTCAGGTTCGATATTGATTGAATTATATGTTAATCAGATTATAAAAATTTAAAATTCAGCAATATTCAATTATAAAAAAAATTCAAGAATAAAAGATTTAATTGAAATATTGTAAGAACATTGGATAATAATTCATTAAAAATCAAACTGTGAATTGATTATTCAATGTTCCTACAATGTGTCTATTAAATCTCTTTTATCTTGTGGTTTATTATTATTGAACTATGAATATTGCATGACTTTGATTAATCATTACAGCAACATGATATTGAAATTTATAAACTTTTTATCTATAAGAATTTAGTCCTTGATCATATGAAATATTTCGTAGACTGTAATTATGTTAAAATATTTTTTCAAATAAATAAAATCCTTAATATGTAATCATGTGTTCACAAAATATAATTTGATATGGAGAATCTTATTTTAACGTTTCGTTTGGCTAATTGATGCATTGATTAAATCTTAGAATCTAGATTACATTTAAAAAATGTAATTGCTGCGTTCAAGTTTTGATTGATCATAATAATTTCTCTGAAATAATTTTAAGTTACATGTTTTGACCATTCACTAGCAAATTGTGTCTTTGAAATATTTATTTGGAATACCACAATATATAGCTTCTTTGATTGGTCTGAAAGTTCTAATTTTACCTACAAAATCTACAGCATTGATTTCATTGTGTTGATGAGGATCTAAACTTAGTTAAGTTATTTGTTGATATTCAAGTGAATTAAGAAGTTTAGGGACAAAGTTTATGTACCATACAAGTAATTAAGCTGTTAAAACATTTCCCATGAGATTTCAGATTCACAACATAAATATGTTTTGTAAATTCTAGTTTTATATCAATCTCAATGTAGATAACTCACTTTGTCATTAACTATTTCTCCAAAGTAAACATGGTTGATTGCGGTAATCACAATGAAAAGTTGGATGATAACCACTTGTTAGGGACGCATTCGTCTTTTGAATAATATGTGATGAAGATTTTCATTGTATTATAATTTTGTAAGGAACAAAATTACATGATTGACTTCTTTAAAGGACTTGATTTGATAAGACAATGGGCAATTGCTTCACCACTTATATGCTATACATTGAACACATTATCAAAGAGATTGAATATGATCAGCGTTACTATTATTTAGTTAGAAATGACCAGTTCAAATACTCTTGTTGCATAATTCACAAATACATGAAGGCATGATGCTTAATATAAAAGGTTGGAGATCTCTATAACCTTGAATATTAACTTCATTTGGAGCTAATTTCGGACTGTACCTTTCCCATGATTTTCTTCCAAGGAGCTGAGCGGGCACTTCACTCGTGAATCGCAGTGAAGTTCACGTGGATTAGATGGATCCACGAGCTCTTGCTCTGTTCTTCTCCTTTGCATTGTATATGTACCTGGCGTCGCTACCTTCATTGAAAGTTTATCAACTGTTTGGTTTTGAACCGTCTAGAGTATGCACTCAACAACAGGGTACATACTACTACCAGCCATCTTCGTCACTGAGTTCAAAAACTGAACGATACCTTATGCGGGTCTCAGGCCGGTCCCTATACTCCGATACCCATTCAAAAAAGAGCGCCCATATCTGATCTCTGCATCATGTCATTAACATGAAACACGTCTGTCAATGTCATCATGATAAAATCGGTGCAAAATCATGTTGCAAAGAAAAGTGACTTTGGAAAAAGGATGGATGCTCTACAGAGTATGCCTTCCCTGGAAATGCAAATGCTGTCTGGTAGCTGAAAATGAAAATTTCTTAATGAAGGCCAATTTCTTAGTTGACCAAAACTCAGTCTTTAAAGCCTTCGAAAAATCAAGCCATCTGCTCTTAATTCAGATGCTACTACTCAGCGTGTGCTTGAGACTGAAGTTATCCACTTACGTTGAAAGCGTTGCAGAATCTCCAATAACTACAAGCTTTTGGCGGGCTCTTGTTATTCCCACATTCAGTCGATGAAAGTCACTAAGAAACCCTACCGTTCCATCAATGTTGCTACGAACTGTGTCCAGAACAATCGTGTTCTTCTCTCGTCCCTGTGTATATTGGAGAGCAAATCGAAGTTACACGAAGTTACCTACATTACTTGTATAATACAGAATCCAAAGGTGAAGTAAGATACTGAAGATGAAGCAATGAAAATAATCGCATAGATTCAGCAGTGAAAGAAAGATCAGATTTTTTTAACAGTATATAAGACCGTCTAGTTTATTTTGGATCTATTTACCTGAAATGCATCCACAGAATCGATCTCAAGCCCTGCCTTGACCTCCTCAGCCATCAATTCTCTCAGCAACGTTACCTGCATATCGTCATGAAGATTTTGAATATATGATACGAAACAAACGTATGCACTAAGATGGAAGCAGGAAAGATTAAAGGCGAAGCAAATAAATTTGAAAGAAAAACTCCGACGTCTGAAAACAAACGACGTAATGCTTGGTAACTGCAATAACTTACTTGTGCTGAATACGGAGTGACCACCCCGATGTCCCCTGCTGAATGGGCATGTGACCTCAGGAGTTCACGCACTACACGTGCTGTCAAGTCTGCCTGCGGAACCATATCAACGTCTTTTGTCCTTAACATTCAAGTACAAGCATCATTCGCCTTCCTACAAAAAGATTTAGGTTCGAATACTTTATCAGTAAACTCTAGAGTCAATCACTGAGCACCAAAGTTGACACTACTACTTGGTTCAAGGCGTCAGCGTTTAAAGGTATGCTTGAGGGAGATCCTTTCTCATACCACTCGAAAACCGATATCTCTACTTTAAGTTGTTGATCCTGTATATTACCTGCCCAGAATTACTGACAGAATAAATTTCAAGTGCCATGCTTGACCGAACATGTCTAGCAGAAGATTCGCCATTTTTTTCCTCCTCGAATCCCGCACCAGCCGTATCTATTACTTCGAGGAGTAGACCTCGATCAAGTATGGCGAACTGCAGATGTACAATTTAATGTGAATGGTCCTGATGTTTGAAGCTGAGAGAATAGTCTTCACTGCACTTTTGGATGAACAAACGAGTCGAACATACGTATGACAAAATAAACTAGGAAAACGGGAAATTTCAGTGTTACCATTTCCTTCGATTCTGAGACTACGGATTCTGGGGCCCGATGTCTTGCAACGAGTTCAGCACCATAGAAAGCAGCGGAGGGAAATGCCATCAACTGTGCAGGCATGCGGTACTGCTGTCTTAAAGCAGCTGAAATAGAACCCATATTTGATCTGGAAAATCATCAATATGATGATATGAAATCAAGTCTAAGATGCACGAACCTTGATGTCCGATGGTCAGACGATCGAACATTATCCCTTAGATTCAAAACACTCAAAATGCCACCTCATATTTGATAATGTTTCTATGCTTATGTTAACAATTGACAATATATGGCGGCTAAACTGCGCTGTTAACCCGTTTTTAATTAAAATATAACTTTCTCAAGTAGGGATTGATTTCGTGAGCTAGATATCTAGTACCTGGAAGGTTGATTTTCTGTATCCATGTATGCATGTAAATAGAATCAAGATATTGAATACACTCCTAGCGGCATTTGTAAGCTAGCATTTCATCTTCTGTATCTGACAACATATTGACAAACCTTTGCACAACTGGTTGTACTGCTTTGTCCACGCCAGTAGCTATGATATGCGCCTGACGCAATATTGCAACCTTGGCTGGATCCCAAGAGTCCGCACTGGATACTAATTCCTCAAGCCTTGTTCCAAGACCTGTCAACGTGTTCAACGATTATACCTCCATCATGGCGCGGATCACAGCTAGTAGTAACATACTAGAAGAACTGCATCACAGTGAAGGTGGTCTCTCTTGTGGTAAAATAATCCAAAAGTCAAAGGGTTATGATACTAAAGAATCTTGATGTATCTCAAACATGCTATTGACTGCAAAAAAAAAAAAACTCCTTTCTACTTCATCTTACAACCTGAGTTGATCACAACCTATGAAGACAGCGTTCACAAGCCGAGGATTTTGAAACTGATAATTTGTCTGTGATGAGAACACAAAGCATGTCCACAACCCTTTCTGTTCCAGTCATGAAATTCTGCAAAATTACCTCCTCCGTCCCGCTCCATCAATTCCTCAAAGAGCGTCGCCTCTAAACCTCCACCTTTTTCGTCAACATCCTCTGCAATCAAAACTCGTTAAGCAATAACACTTTGAACTTCTCACATGATTTGATGATCCTTCCAGATCTCCGTCACCTTTGTGTTTTAATTCATTGATACTAACAAAGACTTCTTGATTGGACAACTTATGAGCAAATTCAAAACAAAGGCCTACAAAGACACCAGCTAGTAACAGATTATCGACATTTACAGAGGACGCGCGTCAGTGGCCTTTTTGTGCACATCAATATCCAAAATCCATTCCCTCTGGTTTGTAATGATTTCTCTATTGACACTTCATAAAGAAATTATAAGATCATCTTCAAAGTTATACATATGCTCCGAATTATTGCCTGCAACCAACTTCGATGAGAAAATTACCAGAAAGGACCGTGGGAGGAAGCTGTTGATGATCGCCAGCCAGCACAAGGAGTGGAGACCTTGAACTGTTGACAAAGTTTTCAGGATACTTCAGATGTGGAAGAACCAGAAGTAATGCTGGAGTGATAACCTGGCTTGCTTCGTCAACGATTACACAATCGAAGTGTGTATCTTCGGAATTTCCTGCAATTGTTTAGTACACTCTCAGTCGAGCTCGTAATAGGATATTTGGAGATATCCCAACCTCTAGGAGACGTTCAACATTGGAGAGTAAGGTAAACACAGCGCAACTATCAGTGTTTGGGCGTTCACAATGAAGGCCAAGAACGTACCCAAATCCTGGAGTGATGATGCAAAACCAGTCAACGTTCCGCAGAGAACTTTCGTTCGACTTAACACAGAAGCCGCGCAAACTTGTTCCAGTCTGTTGTAATATTCCACAATGTTAACCTCACAAGGGTCAGTCTATCAGTTCAGCTCAGACTAACTAAATTATGCGCTTTGTAATACTTTCACTGGAAGCATTCAAGGGACTATACACCGTCCAAAAGCTAACACATCAATCATTCTCAGACTAGTACAACCTTCGAGCGTCCTTGTAAAGCGCATTCACTTCCTTCCGGGCCTTCCGCCTCCGTTCTCCACCATCGCCAGCTCGTGTCCATCTTCATCAACCATCATGGCAAACACAGAAGTTGAAGTATTCATTTCACTAATAGCTGCAGTCCTTTACGAAATGTTGATTGAAGGTTCAGGTTGTGTCCAAAATTTCTTCTTACTTCTGCGCTGTCAGGTGCATGGAATAAGCCTCTTTCCGCAATCTCTTTGCTATAGCAGCTTCAGGCTGGGCATCCTGCAGAGTTTCCAGAGTGTGCGTAGCAACTGCAGATGCAACTCTTTCTGCACAAACAACTTAAGACATGCTTAGATATGGATCTCACTGCAACTCTCCGCACGCCATTTCTTCAATATGTGATAAAACTTGTTTGAATCAATAATCTATTCAACAAAACTGTAACACTGGCTTTCTTGTAATCGGTTAATCACTTGAATAGGAAAGACGTCTCAACAATTGACAAATTCCTGCATTTCTGATATATGATATAAGACGGCGTATGCGTCTACATATGGATATATCAAGACGTGATTAAGTATATCCTAAGTACACTGCTATCGATGAAAAATGTGAACTTCGTTGCTGGCACGTTACAAACCTGTTACTCCAGCACGAGCTAGAGGTATAGAAGGGTCAGCTGTTAAAAGAGCAAGAGCCAAATTATCAACAGCAGCATTGGATGCCGCACAGGCGAGCACTCTTCTTCCTGATTTTACTTGTTGCAGGACAACCTCTACCTGCATATTCCATATGATCGTAAGTTCCCTGAATTCTCTGCCAGAATGAGAAAACTGACAAGTAAAAGATAGCTCAACCACAATTGCATTCAAATAAGTAGTGCTACTCGATGAAGTACTCGACACTCAATAAAAACTTGCTTTTGAGATATCTGTTTCGGCAACAGAATAGTAGGAAGGCTAATTACCAAGGTTCGAGTTTTGCCGGTGCCAAAAGGTCCATGAATAAGGACAACTGGCGACTCACAGTCTTCAGTACAGAGTTTGACAGCAGCACATTGTTCGGCATTGAGTCCCTTGTCAAAGTGTTGTTCTCTCTCCGTATCATTCTCCTGGCATTCAGTTGTAGTTGAAGTTGTGACCTTACTCGCTCCTCTATTCAGCTTATTTGAGGGGCTAGATCCAGAAACACATCTTATACCTTCTTCTAGAAGAGCGTTCAGCAGCATTTTCATACCGTTCTCAGCTCGTTCGCAGTCTGAAGAGAGAAAAACAAATGAAATTCTTACCAATACGTGAGGCAAAGCGGAACAGAAAGCATAAAGTGCAAGAAGATAGACTTATGAATGTTGAAGGCATGCGCTTCGGTTTCTTTCAAACATTCATCAAATGCAGTGCTGGACAGTGTTACCTCCAATAACAGAGCGCATTTTGTCGAATGAAGTGCTGTCAGGAACACGAAGCACACATACTTCTCTAATCTCATCGCTGGAGTTTGGAGGGTAATCAAAAACTAGACAGAGTTTTCCACCTCTGCTCCAAGTTACTCTACCAGGCGGTTGTCCTTCCGACACGATCCAATTTCCAAGTGGATCCTTCTCAGCTAAGCGAATGGCCATTCCAGGACGTGCACGCTGTGCAAAACGAGATACATGGCCTTCCCTCTCCGAACCGATACCGTCCTCCAGAACCCACCTGTTGCAAAAAACTGTTACAATAACTGCAGGATAGGACACTCCAAATCTAGTGGAACTTCAGAAGAATTACCCCAAGAGCACCGGTAGCCACACTGGCAATCAGGTACATTCTGGTCAACATCATACCTCTCTCTGCCAAAAGAAGCAGCCTCCTTTTCCACCACTGAAGCTTTATGAAGAAGTATTCCTTGAGCTTCCAACTCCTTCCAAGATTGCAAAGGTTGGTCGAGGGCAAAACTTGCTCTAGACGCTGCCTCTTCCACGTCGAGGAGCTGCAAATTTGTACCTACGTTAAATTTCCATCAGTCCTGAGCAGTATCACCTGCGATGAAATGAGGAATCTGTATACCTGACCGTATGCACGTTAAGGGGACTCGAAAGAAAGGAATATACCAGGCAACAGGGGCGAGTGAAGACAGCAGAAAAGATGACAGGAATAAACGGACGAAGGACAATGCATCTTCTGAAACTACAGACTGCGAGACACGTTAGTGAGACGTTACACCTTAGCCCGCCGGCAAAAGATGAAAGGAGCATCCTAGAGAAAATTGTGGAGATGTGCTTCTGTACAAACAGGTGTCGAGCGAAATCGGACAAGTCTCAAGTTTACCTTGCGAAACACTGTGAGCCTCTCGGCAGCGGACAATCGCCAAGCGGTGAAACATCTTTGCTTACCCTGGCCCACGCTGCCTCACACTGTGTTAGCTCAACTTCAAAAAGAGAAATATCAAAGTAACCTTCGAAAGTGGAACTATCGAACAGTACCAGTCTGTTGCAGTATCAGAAGATTTTTACGGTAGAATGATGAGTATAAATGTTCGGAGACAACAACGAGAACCAAAAAAACACACCTCACATGTCCCAGTCCCAGTCGTTCGGCAATCTCATGGGCCCGACGTCTGTCCTTTGCAGACATTGACGGTGGACATACAATTTTCCCGTCACCCGGTCCTCCATTCCGTAACTTGACCAGGACTTCCCGGAGGGTATACTCGCTCTCCTGAATGACCTTTGAAGTATTTTCATTGATGAGACAATGTTGTTCAAGGCTCTCGGGAGATAACATGTCAGGTGGTGAAGACTTTGCTCGTACTAAGACGGTCTCTCTTTTGCCATCCCTTCGTGAAAGTGAATATTTCCCGACGCCACTGGACAAAGTCATCCACAAAATGCAGTGAACCGACAGTGAAGGTGACCAGTGAAAGTCTTAGAACAGTATCACACTTTAAATTATTTCAACTTTGCAACGAGTAATTCATAATCATGAGAAAAGTTGGACCCCTCCACAGTCTTTGGCAACCTTACTTCAGAAACTTTGGTACTTCGACGTACCTCTGAAGTCGCAGTGCACTCTGCCTCCAATTATGCCGAAACAAATGTAACAGCGGGCGTTCCGTATTTGTGCTTCTCCGTATACCATCTCGAAAGCTACATTTCAAGGTCTCATTCTTTCTGTGTCCTACATTTGGACGTCCGCAAGAAAGAAAGCCTGCTTCGCATAATACCTCTGAGAGTCGAATACAACTTAAAGCCGTCTCCATTGCAGGGTTATTATATCATCCTAATGGACCAAGGCAACCAGCAGGTGAACACAATGGAATTTTTATGCGATGTACAAATTTCAATCCCGGTTGTAAATATATCCACGTAACTTTCACTCAGCCGCAGCTCACATAACCGGCTCTCAGGCCCTTGCAAAATAACACGCCTACATGGAGAATTCTATTGTGAGATGTATCAGTAACACGCACTCCTTCCATAAGCTTTGTACTCCGATAGAAACCGAGGAAGTATCGAATAGAAAGGGCTTGCGAATTTCTACAGTTATATCGATTATATCTTGTCAATTAATTTCTCAACTTTTTCCGGAAATTTCAAACTTGAATCTTAACTTAATCCTGTATCCAACAAATCACAACTCACAACTCAAAGTCGGATTATGAAGCTACAATATACTCTGCAGCTAGCTGTAGGACAGAAATTCATCTTGTGTAGAGATTTTCTGACGGCAAACAAAGTCCTTCGAAATTGAAGAATGGGAGAAACGAGTCTTCTAATGAAAAAAATATACACAAACAACTCACCCGGGCTATTCGACAGAGGGAACAGCAGGCTCAAAATCCGATGAGCGCAGAATGCAATAGCTCAAAAACCGCCCAACTGTCAAAGTGTCACCCAGGAGAAGTCACAGCTGCGATGAGACCAGATGTGTTTGCCACGATCATTTCTCGAGCTCGCAGGCCGAACGCCGTTTCCAAACTAGCTATGGAAGTCGCACAGAGAGCGAAAATACAAGCGAAAATGCCGAAATGCCGAAAGGAGGCAACGAGTTGCGACGACAGTGCTGACATGTAGCTCTGCTTCAGTAAGCGATGTGCAGCCAAGTACACGTGCCAGCACATCGAATGTTGAAGACGGATGAGAACCCTCCGTCGGGGCGTTCTTAAAGACTGGCCACTAGAAGAACAACCGGTGAAGTTCTTGAATGCCCTGCTCTTGTAAAACGAACCTCGTCCATCATTTCAGCCGTGCATCTCCGCCATAATCCTACAAATAACCCAAAAGCAGAATAGGGTGAAATATAAAGAAAAATGTCAATACCTCGTGACGAATATGTGCCGAACACTCTTACTTGAACTTTAAACATTCAATTTTTGCAACATAAACACGTTAGGAAGCATCATATGAACGTTATAAAATTACTTAATGTTTATCGAAAAATAATAGAATCACAATAAATGATCCATAGATTGTGGTATACGAAAATCCTCAACGAGAATGAAAAGTTAAATTTATAAATCCATGTCTAATAGAGAAACCGCTGTAACTCTTAAATCGAAATACTTATGTTCAGACAATTTGCTGCCAGCAGAGTTATTGAACCTACTAATTTTACGAAGGCTGTGACAAGTATTTATATATTTGCCGATACCAAGGGTCGAAGGATCATACACTGCGAAGATCACGTCGCACGCAAGGCCAGAATCAGGGTCTCGAGTGGAGGATAGATGCGCAAGTAGGTCGAGCACGCGCAGAGCACATCGGAAGGGACATCGAAGGGAGTGCACGCTGTGCTCGGTGGGTGGTCCCTTGCAGGCAGGTCCACCCCGAACATGCGTCAAATATACCTGCGGCATCTCAGATCACGTTTTCTCGGCGGAGTTGTGGGCTTCATGCTTCGTCCAGTGTGTTTGCGGTTCGATCTGCTTCTAATGTGCAGAAACCCACATGAGGATTTTCTCCCTAAAACTGGTTGTAGCAGATGTGGTTGGAAGCGACCGTATCATCAAGTTTCTCTGTAATGTATGATTTCCCTTTGAACTTTTGAGTGCTAAGCGGCAGGCGGAGGATGGAGTGACTTGTGCGCAACGGATGAATATCGTGTTCGGTTTTTCCGTAATCGATGAGGCAGAAAATGTTATCACTCGCATACATTGTACTGTTCTAGATAAATCGAGGACGACGTGTATTTACACATTACTTCGACTGTCATATTGATCAATCGGTGCGCAGCTAATTATAACCGTCTGGAACAATCTGCCAAAATGTTCGATATTAAAGTACTTGAAGCTTTGTGATCTTCATTTATCTGATAGGCATAAACATAAGTAATCACGACTTCCGTCTGATGCGTTGAAAGCGACTTCGAAAAAACGCCGCGGTTTTATTAGTTTGCCCTCTATAACCACGTCAGCTATAATATACAAAGATGTCGGTCGGCTCGACTGGGACTACATCATTTGAGTAAGTTCTAAAACTACACGATTTTCGGGAACGCTGCACGTCCTAAGCCATGTCGGAGATCTAGAAGTTATCTCCTGCATAATTTTTTACAAAACTGCCATTTCCTTACCCAAGAATTTCTTGAGCCACACATCAAGAGATAAGCGTATGGATGTTATTGATAGCTGTACGGTGCAGATGAGATTTGTATTGTGTCACTCGATGAGACTCATCGAAGGGGCAAAAGAATATCGATAAGTATCAGCATATGTTGCTCAGTGACACAATGGCGACGTGCGAACCTCGGAGCCTGAGGACACTTGTTTACATGCCGGATTGCAGAGTCGGAGGCTTCCAGACATAGCCGTGCGTTCGGACATAACCTGCGCGAGAGATCAAATCGTCCGACTCGGGAGGACCCCGTCCTCCAGAAGCGTAGTTCAAGCACTTGAATTCGCCACAGTCGATTCGGTGAAGCAGAGGGGTGAAAATCTCCCAAGCTGCCCGCAACTCATCTCTTCGGACAAAATGTTGCTGGTCACCACGAATAGTGTCCAGCAGTAATCGCTCGTAGGCCTCGGGGATCACAATATCTTGGTACCGTTCACGGTATGAGAGATCGAGCTCGCTCTGTGTACCAGCCATGTCCAACCCAGGTCTTTTGACCGTGAGCTTCATGTACATGGCTTCCGAAGGTTGCAGTCTCATGACGAATTCGTTACGCCCTTGCTTTTTGCACTTGAAAATGTCCCCGGGAACATCCTTGAATTGCACCCGGATTTCTGCCTTGCGAGAGTCTAACGCCTTGCCCGCTTTGATAATGAAGGGCACACCATCCCATCTCTCGTTGTTGATGTGGACGATCACCGTGGCGAAGGTGGGCGTGTTGGAATCATTAGGAACACCTTCATCATCCTTATAGCCTTCGTACTGACCGATGACAACATCTTCGTCCTTGATCGGCTGCACCGCCTTCAGGACCTTCACTTTCTCATCCCTGATATGTTCAGGGCTGACAGAAACGGGTTTCTCCATGGCCACCAAGCATAGCACCTGCAGCAGATGATTCTGGATGATATCTCGAATGATTCCATACTCGTCGAAGTAGCCTCCGCGACCTTCAGTGCCAAAGTCCTCCTTGAACACGATCTGAACATTGGCAATGTTGTCCCTATTCCAGAGAGGTATGAAAAATCGATTGGCAAACCTCATCACCAGGAGATTCTGAACGATTTCCTTTCCCAAATAGTGGTCGATTCTGTACAGCTGATCCTCGGTGAATAATTCTCCTAGCTGCCCACTGAGTTCCTCGGATGAAGCCAGGTCCTTTCCGAAAGGCTTCTCCACGATGACGCGCGTCCAGCCGTGCTTATTCATGCAATGAGCGTGCACCATTTTGCTCACGAGAGGGTAAACGGAAGGCGGGAGGGCCAGATAGAACAGCCGTCGAGTAGACGACGATCCACCGTCACCCACATTCTCCCGCGACGCGATCGCTTTTTCCAACTCCATAAAGCCCTCCTTGCTGTCATACGCTCCCGCAACGTACGTGATCAATTTCAAAAACTCCGAAATCACAGCCTGACCATCCTGCAAGGCGTTCTTGCCTGGTTTCAAATTTCCTGCAATTCGTTTGCGCAGTTCGTCATTCGTGAGCTTCGATCGGGCGTACCCGATGATCTGAACATCGCCTGTGGGGATGAATCCCTGCTTGAAGAGATTGAAAAGAGCCGGAAACGTTTTCTTCTTCGCGAGATCGCCCGAAGCTCCGAGCACTACCACGGAAAGGAAGCCTCCCTGGTTGACCTTGGCCGGACTCTTCTCTCCGACCTTCAAGTTGTCGAAGTCGAGCGCCGGAGCATGAGCTTCGGCAGGTTGGGGAATCACCACGGGCTCGGGGCTTGCCACCGACATTGCTCCCGATGGAGGGTTGAGTTCTCCCCTAGGCTCCTCGTCTGATTGCTAAGCCTCGGGATCTTTGCCTGCAAAGGTTTGCAAAAGTTTTCAAGGGCAGCAGTTCCGGACCTGAAACACGAATAAAACATTCGTCAGTGCGACATGAAACCAGTACGGTCTGAGCCGAAGATCTACAGCAGTGGAGATAAATGCCCATAGGCATGAGATCCTTACAAGCGTCATGAATCAGAGGTGCGCTGATAGAGCACTGAGAAGAGAGATCGATGAACACTGGCAACCTCACCAAAGACTTTACAGGCTCCGGAATGAATCAACGACAAATCGGTAGGTTGAAGGCCGACTGACCGATCGAAAGGATGGTGTAAAAGTTGGGGTACTCAATCCTACGGAAACTACCACATCAAAGTCCAATGAGATACGGAGACTGAATGGCTGACAAGATTTAATTCCGTCTCAAAAGTGAGACCGAATCTGGCCTTCTGGCATATCTGTGAGCTTTCAGGCGATCTATCTTCGACGGTGATTGTCGCGAGATGTTTGACGCGGTGGACACTCTAGCTTCACCGTCGACTTTGATTTCCCAGGCAAACCCCTGAAGAGATAAATCCGGTGACTGAGTTTCACGTGTCTAGAAATCCTCGGAGTTTAGGACTGACGTTCATCGAGTCCACTGGTCCGGTTCATGATCCATTCTCCTGAAATTCAACTCTAATTTACGGAGACCCAGCAGGCTATGGGGCCTACGAATGCTAGTCAAGGTCACTGATTCATCGTTCGTCAATGTTGAACACTGGAGCTCACATCACGACCAATCGGATCTTTCTTCTTCCACTAGAAGATATTGCCGGGAGACCTCTGAACCAAAGGCTGACAGCAAGAGTCGCCACGCAAACTTTGAGGCCAATCTTTCCTTCAGCACGCAGAATCAATGGAATGTAAGAGGAAGCGATCCCTGTCTGCCCAATCGCCTCGTTCATTGATTTTCTGTCGGAGATTCTACAGGAGCTACGACGAGAAAGTCTCATTCCCGCAGCCAGCCCATAGCGATGATATGAACCTCTACCAAAGACTGACCTCTTTTCTTTGAGCCGCGAGAGTCAGGAGGAATTACGCCCTGCATCATTCGTATGCATAAAGACTGCGAGCAGAGTCCCAATTTCGCCGCTGAAGGGAATTTCACTTCACTCATAGAGAGGGATCTACAAACTTGCACTCTCCTTCTCAGGCAATGATGAGCCTCCGCCAGATGACGCTCACGCACCATAGACAGGACCAAATCGACCCAACAACGAATGAAAGAGCGAGGTCCGCCGTCTTGAGAAAAATTCCTCTGAATCTAATCGTGTACTATCCACCACTCAGTCCCATTTTTGAAACGAACAAGAAGCAGGACCTGAGAGCAAAGATGCGAGGGATCTGATCTCACCTTAACAAGTGCAGTAAAATTTGGTGGCGATTATTGGTTCTACCACGGGCACCCTACACCTGTCTCGCAGACACTGAGTTCCCCAGCCCAGTTTATAGCTGACAAAACGAGAAGGAGATGAGCGTCCTCCGAGAAAATTCCTCGCAAGTTTACTCAACTTCAGCTCCCAGACTCAAAACCACAACAGATGCGGCCAAGTCGGCCAATTCTGCCAGTTCAGTTCTTCTGTCCGGCACTCCAGGTCCCCGCAAGAGTGCGAGGAGATCCAGATTGGTTTCGATATACGGGAAGTGCTTCTGGTCTCAGGGCTGTCGACCAATCCGAAGGTTTTAAAAAGACCAGACAATCAGTGCATGACTTGGCCACAATCCGACAGAACACCTGTGACCCCCAGATCAAAGCAGATCCTCGAGTGGGAGAAAAAAATAGAACATGCATCGAGCCGCCTGGCAGCACACGAAAGCTCTGCGGAAGCAGCAGGCGCGAGAGAGGGAGAGAGACAGTAGCGGTGCTCCTTCCCTGCCTCCTCGCTCCTTCCTCCTTCCTCCAGAGGGCACCCCAATTAGCGATTAATTTTCATCGCCCCAATTAGTGCTTAATCTTCAGCGAATTATCGTTCGTCTTCCCCGTCTGCTTTATCTCTCGGTGCGACCTTGTTAATAAATCGACCCTCTCATTGACCCGTGTGGTGAAATCTCGCCCAGGCTGGTAATCTCTCGACGGTTCAGCCACTTCCGGAATGACATCTGTCCCATCAACCTGACCGTGGTAACTTATTATGGTCACGGAGTGTTAAGGCCCGGAAGAGTGGCGGAACCGTCTCCATCCAGTGCAGAGGAACCGCTGGTTTGCGGACTTTGAATAGACTTAAACCCAGAGGGTTTTCTGTAAATCCTTTATACTTTCTCGATGCGTATTGGGTGGACGAGAGACGGGAACCAGGCCACCGTGGGCTTGCGATAGACCTTTGGGACCTTCGGACCGGCTGCTCTCCGTGGTTTCTTAGGGGCGGTACCTCCTCGCAGCCCTACACATCGATCGACGACGATCTGCTTCGGGCCCTCAAGAAGCGTCGGGCGAAGAATCGCCTGCTCGAGAAGTCTTCGCGTCGCATCTTCCTGCGGATTACTGCCATGTAGGGCGACCGCCAAGGTTGAAGATGTGCACCAAATATTTGGTGTTTAATTTTTTTGAACTGTATTGACGGTATACTGCGTTTCAGGATTGGGGGATACAATCTCATGACGTCGACGTAATTTTCTATGGTTCATATGACGCTGGGATAAAAGTCATACTCGCTCTCGTTCTCTTCGTTGAGGTTCACACATGCTCTCATTGAAGAAGTTGTTGCACCATTCATTTTCATGACTATCTTGAAATGTCGGATTGATTGTCGCCTTTGTTGAATTTTTTATTAGTTATTTTATTATTCCTAGAAATATTTTTATATCACATGATACATTTGAATTTGTCTAACTCAATGCAGTGACGTGAGTTTGTCTCATCTATTTCCCGTCAAACCATTGAGCAGTGTAGTAAAGAAAAGAAGAAATTTCAGAGTTCCCCAAGTAGAGTTTGATTATATTACTACCAATTGAATGTTTACCTCCTTTTAGCGTATGGCTAGTTAGACAACGAAAATGAAGTTACACTTGAAAATTTTAATGCTACTTCTTCTCAATAGCATTGATAATCTGCGAATCAATTATAAACAGAATGGAGGTAATATACAGTATTCAGAACATAATAACTAACCATATATACTTGTATGAATGAGAATAATGTCATGAAAACGTTGAGTGTGTTTTTATTTAACATGTATAGAATCTTGCAAATCACATTCAAAACACAAGTATCGCAACAATTTCTAATAAACAAATTTTGAATGTATGTAGATTATTTCCCAGATTAGAAGAGTGTTGAATCATTTTATGATAAAATACACTTGAAATTGAATACACACATCATTGAAAATCTAAATATAATTAATGCAATTATTTATTGTAAATGCTGATGTTTTATGTGTTTCATATATGAAGTATATACATATTTCTTTAAATTACTAAAGATGGAAATTTCATTTCAGTTCGCACACAATAACAAAATAATGCGACTCGTCATTTTTGTTTTACTAAGAAATTCATTACTTGTTGTAACTTTTTAGATAATATCTAAAAATTTACAACAAATAATGAACAGACTCAACTTTTTCAGCAATCCTCACCATCACAAAATTAAATTCTCTTAAGCAATAAATCAATTAAGTATAGACTAGTTCAAGAGTAAAATTCTAATGCACTCATTTATGTACTTTGGGAGACATTGCAACTTCACCCCTTTAACTTGGGATTGAATTTCAACATCTCTTTCTCGACAGACTGAAAATATCAAAATGTATTCCAGATCAATTTTGAGCAAAATCTCAGCCTTGTCATGTGTGTCCAGTAATAAATCAACCACAGTACATATAAGTTCTTGTGCAGGATCGAAAGAGAAAACTGTGAAAAGTATATATATGTGACAATTACAAGAATAGTGCAGACTATGTGGATCTTTGACAAAGCTTACACCATTGCATTGCATTACTTTTTTGGAATGTTAAGAGATATGGCTCACCATACAGTCAAGGAACATTTGCTAGTCGTCGCGTCTAGCTATCTACCTTCTGCCTAAGGATAGATGTTTCCTGAGCTCAGCACTCATCCGGACTGAATAAAGTATTTTCATGTTATTCACAATTTTTACATATTGTGAGATTTTTCTTACTCTGTGCATCTTGCAGCTTATCTTCAACTTTGAAAATGATGTACTACTATACCAAACATTACCGATTGTTTCATTGCCAATCTGAAAGCGAAACTGGATGTATTCGGTATTGAGAGTCTATTCGTATCATTTTCTACATATAACAATGACTCTCATCAAGTTTTGAGCAAACCAAGCTTCAGCTACATCATGAACTTCCGTAGTTCGGACATTTCAGTATTACTCATCACAAGACCTCTTCTTAATTCAGTGACATTTATCCAATCTAGATATGTGACTTTTTCAATCTTTTAAATTCTGACTTATATTATTTCTATCTATCCTCTTTTCTTTTTATCGATTAGAATTTTTTGGGAATGCTCTTTAAAGGATCACCCAAATGAACTCTATAAGGATCATAATTATATGGAAGCGGGAACCAGACCCAAAAACACAAGGCTTAGGCTGGTGATTTTTGTACTGGCATCTCATGTAGACATCTCTATTCGCACCGTAATATTATCGTGCCGTCCTAGATTTAAAGTCAACGCAATCCAAACCTCTACATGAATCACATTAAAATACAGGATTTACACCAAAACCGAGTAAGTCACCGTACAACATACTTCAATGACCAAATTGCAAATAGAACTTTTCCAAAGTGGGTGGAGATATTTATAAGCTACTGAGCTCGCAGCAAAAATAACCTGCTGTCATTCTCGATGCATTTTAGCGACCGGTTGTGGATTCGGTAGTCATGTCATGGGTGAGTCACAGTCAACATGAAAGATACATGACACGTGTACACCTTCAGAATGCTGGGAAAGAGACTGACTTCAATGTATGACAGGAATGCGGTGGAGTTCTAATGGGGCAGGTCCAACGGCTATTAACTAGATGGAAGGATGACCTCCAACTCACCGCCGTGGATCTCATTCATTCTGACTTTCTCCAACAATTCCCGTTTGAGACCTTCACTTATATTGTCATGTGTCTACATTTTGTGCCCATAGAAAAGCCTTGTCTTATACGGTACTGTCTGAACCGGCAACAAACATCAGCAACATTTGTCAAGCCAAATATTGGAAAATAAGTATCAGTTCACAGTTTAAACTTATCTCTCAAAACATGGATTGGTATCCATGTTCATCATGTGTAGTAGTGGTAGAAAGTGATAAGAGGAGTAGGATCTGCACAAGCATTCTAAATCGAGGACATTTAGCAGAAGTGTTGTGTGTGCATGTACGTGTTGTAGTTAAAGTTCTCTATGCTCTATGTAAGTAGAAGGTTTCTGTCACCGATGGTTGCACAGCTTTTCGTGTGTTCCATACACTGTATGAAAACCGTCTGCTATGTAGTTTCCGATTGAAATTGGAATTTTTCTTGAAGGTTTGGTAACGAGTGGGTTTCCTTAAGCTCTAGAGAATAGGGAGAACAATAAAGTAAAATCGAGTGCGAATGGATACTCAAATGAAATGAATGTGAAAAACGTTCAAATTTAAGCCATGGCATGTAAAGTATGGAAGTCACGAAGCTCAGTAGAGTAGGTTTCACTCAATTTTAGTAGCCCATTTTCGAATCTAGATTGACCTTTTTACCATATGATCGCTTGATCTAGTTAAATGTCCAGGAATCCTCTGGTTTTTGATCGATTAGGTGGGTGCTTTTACTCCATCCGGAATATGTGGTGATGAGACAAAAGTGGTACCTCCCACAACGAGAAGGGGCCAAGTGGATAGGAAAATTTTGTGAAGATCCTGTGAAGCACCTAAATGGTATAAAACTGGAGTCTATGATGGAATTGAAAGTTTCGTTAATTTTGGCATTTCTCATAGAGACGTATGGTGGAAGCTTGGAACGAATAGTGCACTGAAGCCAATGTAAACAAAGAAGGGCTGAGTAGTGACCGAGGCATGCGGTCACTACATTTTCTCAAAGTCAGGAGGTGAAAATAATTTTGGTTTTTACCTTCAAATAAACTTGACTTTGAGATTATTGTTGTAACCAGTTTGTAGAAGAGAGATGGACATTTCTTCAAACTTAATAATCACCATTTTCTTTGCTAATTGAGAATTTCTCGTTGAAAGATAAAAAATTTATGTGAGAAGATGAATTAAGAACTCTACGTGATACAACTTAGGGCTGTGAGCTGATTGTTATGTACATTCCATGTAATAATATTGCTGAAGGGTGTAACTTCACGTGTAAAAATGTTATAAATTATTACCTCTCACTTTGTGAATGTTTTTCACACATGGACGTAGACTATCTTGTTCTAATATCAATTGCTATGCATTATCATTTACAAGATAATTGCTATTAGAGCAAATGAGAATAGTTTATATTTTAAATTACAAGTATTAGTGAGATTTAAGTTCTTGAGAATGACAATCAATTAGCAATCAAAAGCAATCAGTAATTTTCTCATTAGATTAAATTTTTACACAAAATGACGTAAAAGGTAAAAATAAAATTTCTTGATAATTGAGAATGCTTTACTTGTAAAAACACTATTCTACAATTCATAGATGGTAAATTTTGGCACAGACACGAAAAGCCATTATATTACATTTTTCATTAACATCAATGAATTAAAAGTATAAGTCTGAGTAGTTTGAATCTATACATGTGAGGAGAATGAATTAGACGACTACGAAGATGTTACAAGCGAGTACTCTTCAAATACTCGATTATTCGTCAAGGTCATCGAATGTAATAAAAAAAAAGCAAGCTTTTTTATACCACCGTCCCACTTTGGAAACTATTGTTTTCCAACAGCAAATCGAAGTATTATTCTACATGTTTTGTACTGCATTCAGAAATTTAATTCTGGCCTTTAAAGAATCAACCGACTAACAGAATTTGCACACAAATTATAAAAGATCTGCGATGTCACATCATATATATGCAACTATTGAGTACATTATTTGAGCTCCAAATTGTAATTACTCAAAGGGCGGTTCTTGTGAAAAACAACACGTTATATGCAATTTGATAGGTAACTTGATAATTCCAAGATAGAAAAACACTACTGGAGTGTCCTCAGGAATTTTCAAGAACCTAGCGTCCACACGCCATAGTATCTGACAAGAACAACGAGACAGTCTCTTTACAGAATGATGGTATTTCCTGTATGTATAAGGTAGTAAAAAGCTGCTGAACAAAAATTACCCTACGTATATATTCAAACCTACGCAGGGCACAGCGGATGAACTTCAGTTTATATGCTTTGCGTCATGCCGGAAGCTGTTGCTTCAACGTGAAACTTTCAATTAATAGACCAATGACCTGACAAGGTGTGTGAAAGAGTGCAGATTGTCTATTGGCAGTCTTGAGGTACATGGATCGTGTGATACATACTACCATCAAAGCACGCGACCTACGCTTAAAGTATTCAAACCTTCGACCGTAGCGAAGTTCAACTGAAGCTTGAGCATGTTCATTGGATCACAAGATGGCTTCAAATAAAACACGAGATGCTAAACCTTACCAGCACTGTTTAGAAGCTTTGAGCATGACTTTGGCTGTTTGTCACGGAAGATGTGAGGTCACACCGGTCATCAGCTGACATGCGAGCACTGTCTCGATTGAAATGAAATGATGAGGTGACAGAAAGAGAAAATAGAAGCGAGCAAAGGGTGATGGAAATCATCGAACAAAAGCCTAGAGGGTACTAGATCCACTTCTTGGACAACATACTTTCCACGAACATGATGCATTATAACTTGACCTCAAATTTGGAAATCTTCATTGGCTAAACATGCAGATAAATACTTTGGTTCCTGTGCATCACGCTGATATTGCATGAGCTGAGTTAATTGTCCTCAGCTCTACGGTAGCTTCGTGATTAGAGAGATGACTGGTATGGACCCTGTTTCACATTAGTAACCTCATGACTAAGAAACTGCATTCAGTAGTGTGGACCTGCAATTGCCTGAAGGCCATGCGTGCGCTGGCTGTGCTTGAAGGGAATAATGTCCAGAAAAGCCATATAGCTTGTTCTTGTGTGGCTCTGCAAAAGTTGTGCGACAATAGAGTTCGCGACTTCATGTCATGCGCTCAGACATGGATACAAACACTCATGAGGAGAAAGCAACCAAGAGGTCGACAAGGACGTTCATGAGTTTTTAAAGTCAAAGACTGAACTCTAGTAGATGAATATTGGGAAAGATCAATCGTCTCCTGTGAGATCTACACTAAAGCAGAATTGATTTCGAAACAGAGAAGAAAGTACAACTGCGCAGAGGCCTCAGTGCAGAGTACAGTGAAGAAGTTTGAGAGATTGGAAGAAAGACAAAAATGTAATAATCTAGGTGCCACTTCGACAGCATGAACATGTGAGAAAAAGAACCGAAGAAAACACAAAATCTACCATTACTCCTGGAGGGACTAAACAACTTGTGATGTCAATGGTGCAACATCCATACACCGAAAAAGGGGAAGACTACCCCAAGAACTTTTACTACGAAGTATCGAAAGAAACTGCTCTCGGAGAGTAATGAGCATACAGGAGTCAGAGCATTCAATTTAAACTACAGCTCAACAAACTACACAGCACAGGCGGAACTCAAAATTTGTACCAAGTCAGCACTGGGCAGACCTGACTTCGATAAAGATACACATGTTAAAATAATAAACGGGGCCTACTCTACTCTGGGATCATTTGCTCCGAATCCACATCCTTGTCGTCTTCAATTTGTGGTCCTTTGGGTGTTGGACCACCACCTGCCTGTTTCTTCTTCAAACCACTGAGAATGTCGTCAATTCTCAGGAGCATAGACGCTGCCTCGATGGCTGTCTTAAAAGTCTGAACCTTGACTCCGTACGAATCCCAAATTCCTAATGCCTTCATATCAGTAACAACTCCTGTGTTCCCATCGATTCCGATCATCCTGTTGTCAGACGACGCATGCTTGGCTTGGAGAGCAGTCATGGTACGAATAACATTCACTCCGCAATTTTGAGCGAGCGTTCGGGGGATCACTTCGAACGCCTTGGCAGCTGCGTGGTACGGCCATTGTTCTACGCTCTCAATCAAAGCACCCTTTTGCTTCAGTATACTGGAAACAGCCATTTCCGCGGCACCTCCTCCTGGAACTAACTTCGCGTCCTTAATAACATTCCTAGCAACACCCATGGCATCATGCAAGTTCCTCTCGACCTCGTTTAGAAGGTCTTTGCTGGCTCCTCTCAAAAGGACAGTGCAAGCTTTTGGGTCCTTGCAGTCTATAATGAAAGTGAAGTATTCATCTCCGATCTTTTGCACTTCGAAAAGTCCTGCGCCTAATCCTATGTCGCTCTCCTGAATCTCGTCTGTCCGGTTGACGATGGTAGCACCACAAGCACGTGCAATCCTATTGTTATCAGTCTTCCTCAATCTCCTGATGGCCGAAATTCCGGCTTTGCTCAAAAAGTGGGACGCCAGATCGCTCAGACCCTTCTCTGTGATCACAAGATCAGGCTTGAACATTATGATCTGTGCACACACCTTTTCAATATATTCCTCCTCCATCTTTAATAAAGTAGCCCAGTCTTCTTCCTTCATGAGCTCGGCGTTAGTCTGGTTTTCTCCTTTCTTGTACTCCAATGGGCAATCCAGCAGCAAAATCCTAGGGTTCTTGATTTTCCTCCTCATCTTTCCTGGGGCTACGACGTCTTTGTTAAACATCACACCACTGAGAACTTTCGAGTCCTCAAGCTGACCTCCAGGGAGCTTCTCAATCTTGATGTACTTCTTGATATCGACTTCTCTAAGACCGCTGCCCAAATCCACTGCGATCGTTTTGACAGACCCAATTGCAAGGTCGGCAATTAGGGTTCCAAAACGACTTGTGAATTTAGTCCCAATGCAGCTCTGCACAATGTTGAGCATCATCTGCTTGTCATCTATGTTGATCGGGAACGCAATTTCATCCAGAGCCTGGATGGCGTGCTCCAGAGCCTGAGTGTAAGCTCTACAGATGACAGTTGGATGAAAACCTTGATCCAAAAATTGTTCGGCGACGTATAAAAATTCACCGGCCAAAATAATTACCGAGGTCGTTCCATCTCCAACCTCCTCATCCTGTGTTCTGCTAAGCTCTATCATGGTCTTAGCTGCGGGGTGAGCTACATCCAACTCCCTAAGAATGGCATTCCCATCGTTCGTCAAAACAATGCCACCGCTAGCATCCAGAAGCATCTTCAGCATAGAACGTGGACCTAAGGTCGTCCTGATGATGTCCGCCACTGCCTTGGAAGCCTGTATGTTGGCGTGGTGTACCTTACTCCCCGACTCCCTCTTAGTCGCGTCATTTAAAACTAGCACCGGTGCGTGCATGGCTGCAGGCTGCAGTTATCTTCTACGGTTCCTCTCCGTCAGCTTCTCTGCCCGCCACAAATCGCAACAATTTCCTGACTTCTGATCGTCCCCCACCTAATCCAGGCAACAACAAACAACTGTCAGGGACAGTTGTGATGATTTCCAATGATCCAGCTATTGATCAAACATTGTGATCAAGCAGCGCACAATGCACAGGAATTCTCTTTGTAGATCTGCAAATGCGAGCTGCATAAGAAATCAAATGTACCCCAGAAAGTAAACCTCGAGACGGTCATTCCTCTCTACATTTCTAAGACCGAGACTCACCCGGTGGAGGAAACCCACACAAGCTATTTCTCGATTCGGACTAGATCTCGTACCTGGACGCCTTCCCAAACCACTCCGACGTTCGATCCTGTTCTGTCTTCGCGCGCGTGGTCAAAACCGAGATCTGAGAATCAAATTTCCGATCGTCAAAGGAACAAGAGCTTTCGTCCAAAGCCCGTCGCGAACACGAAGGAAACATTCGATGGAGCGAGCCCCGGTCTAAACTTCCCCGCCAAAACCCAAACCCTAACGGAATCCCCCGTGACTTAACTCGAGTAAAACGTAAACAGATCCCTGAACCATGTTCTACCGTTTGTCCCTACCCGTGGTTGACACTTAACGCCTGCAAGACACGAGAAACTGCATATCAGTTACAGTATTCGTTCCGTAGTAACATCTATACCACCAGTTTCTCAGAAAATGACATTTTTGAAAAAATCGAAGTGAGACAAAAATAATGAATCACAAGCTATGTAGGAACACTTGTAGAAGATTTTTTTTTTTGAATGATTGAAAGAACCTCACGATTTTCATCCATAATCTAATATGATGGCCCATAACTCTTCTATGATCTCTTACTTTGTGAACTCATATGATTAAATACTAATATTTACTCTCAATTCCCGCATTTTACCTGAGCTTACCTCCATGGGTCGACTACGATAATCACATCCAAGAAATCATCTGCTGAAATGTGATAGAACACCGTTTTAATATTAAATTATATTTCTACACAGAGTGGATTCTCATTGCCCAAGAGTAACCAGGTCGTGAAAATCCCTACCCCCGGACTTTACCACTGTTGCTAGAACCGAGCCAAGCTATAGTGCATATTGTCCGTGTTTGGACATTCTGCCTATTGTTTGTGAAAATTGCAACACTAGCTCTTCTGACGGAGCTTAGCTTTTGGTTTTGCAGTTCGATTCAAGTTCATCATATATTCGTCCAGATTTAGAGAAAAAATGTAAGCAATCTTGATGCCATTTATTTAAATTAAATCAAATCGAGGTTATACGAATCGATTCTCTCAACTTGTATATCTTGCACAAAAACATCCAGTGTAAACAATTGTACCAATGTAAATGTTATTCTTAATTGTTCGTTATTTTCTCTAACTATGTATTAAAGATCTGGAACAAGCTTTCATCAGTCTTCTCATGGGATGATGGAGGTCTCAAGATCTTTGCATCACTCGTTACTGTTTGTTACTATGAATTGCGAGCAATTATTTTTTGTAATTATATTTGATTGTTTCGTTGTATTTTTTGTAGCTATTTCGGAAGAACAATGAATCGGGTTTAAAAGTCTAATTTCTACCAACAAGATAAGTTGTGTCTTAATGTGCAACTTCGTCCTAATACTCATGAAATGCTTGATATGAGATGATTTGTGGGTGCAACACAGCTATCACCCATACATGACACAAATGGCTACGTAGAATTTGACTGACTATCGAGCAATGCTAGACACAAACAGAAAGATGGAGATGACCTTCAATGTCAGTGAGAAAATCTCACAGATATCATATTAAGCAATTCAGGACACAGTACATCAAGAAAAGATAGTCAAAATCTACGTAGCCATCTGTGTCATGTATCACTGTGAGTAGATTTGACATTAATAGTTACGTGCATGCGAGGAATAATTAAATACATAAATAGTATGTATACGGACTACAAACTATCCTGGCACGCCCACTGAACCAAAATATAAGTACTCCACTTGTAAAACCGCTTGGCATATATACAAAATCAGAAGCTGCTTACCCATGAAATACAGAAGGTAGCGATATTCGGGAGCCTACCTGATTTTAGTCACAGCGCTTTTTTTACTAACGATTCAAATAGATCCACTAGAAGTTCCGGATCCTTGGTAGCCCTAAAACTCTTGTACTCTGTCAAGTTCAAAATGTCCTTGATGTCATTGGAGAGAGCATCTATGACAGCTTGTTTAATAATGTCGGAGCCATAGTCGTAGCCAATCTCCCAAGTGCTGAGAGCAGTCTCAATTGTCAGGTTTTTAGCTATAAAACGTTGACATAGTAAACTCAGAGATTGCACATTGTATCTGTCTGCTGCAGAGAGCAGTCCTGAGGCATAGTTTTTCAGGTCACTGGGGCTAACAACACCTGTGTAGAAATAGCGAACAAAAGAGTCTAACACATCTGGCAACACGTTCACTTCTACTACACCAGTCTTTGCTTCAGTCAACTGTGCTACGTTAAACCTTAACCTCTTCCCAAACACATCAGACTTTCCAGCCTGCAAGCAAAACGTAATCACTGATCAGAAACGCTGGTGCTAAGTCTTCAACCTATCTGGTGATGCTAAGAATCTTTCTGCAGACCCGCTTACAGACGAGATGTGAATATTGAAAGCTAAGCCGATAGCTCTTGTGATATGTGCAACGTTCAGAAGCCAAGTGCAATAAAACTCTGCACACAATTATCTGCCTCGAGTGAGAAGCTAGGCACTTTACATAAAAGTTATAGAGAAAAGTTACAGTGTGGGGATATGATTATCTATAGTTTTAAGGAACAGTTCATAGAGATTTTGATGCATTGCAGTAACCACAAAAATTTGGAAGACTTCAAAAAAATGCTCGTCGTAAACACAGATGACATTTTTTATCTGTCTAAATCTGTCGACAGATAGTTGCAAGGTACAGAATATACTCGTGACCAGTCCAATTCCAGACAGCAACGCAAGAGAAGTAGTTTACTTGAATCATAATCATAATTCCGAAGCCACACAAGCTGAAGTTAAGACTGCACCGGATAGAGACAGTTTGACTTGTGTTTTAATAGTACAAGCTTTTCCTGTAGTTACTTTTCACTCGTGGTTATTAGAAGTACCCTGACCAGCAGTTACCGCATCTGAAATCTGCAGTCTGCCAATTATGAAATAAAATTAGCAGATCTGCCAAAGTTCTAGCTTTGGCAGATTTGCTATGAACTTCACTTTTAATTGGACGTCATAGAAGCAAATTTGTGTACTCTTACATGATTCATATTGTAAGCAGCTTAAATCTGACTGAAATGCATCTCCACCTCCAAACAAAGGACTCTGGAATGCAATTGCGTAGTGTTGAGACACAGTGTTGCTAACTTGCCAATTGGTCTGGGTACGGTTAAGGTTCAGAGAGCTCCAGAATACGAAACAAAGGGATCGACCATCCTTTCAGACATACAGGCCAATTTCTTTCACCAGAGCTAGGAAAAAACGAACGAATTCCCTGCCTTGAATTCATGGGTGAATCTTTTCAGCTGTGAGGTACTGAAGGAGATGGGGTAGTGATTTACAAGAACAGCTTTGTGGGCATAGACGACGTGTCCTGCAGCTTGCAAGCGGACGTCAGTACAAGCAGGACTCATAACAAATGGGTCCCATGATTGCAGAAACTGTAACTGTTCCCGCAGAAGACTTTCTTCAAGTTCGGCTTTCTTAATCTTCTTCTCCAATTCTTTCATTTTTCTCTCCTGCTGCTCTGCATTGATAACGGCTTGAAACCTGGGTCCTTTCTTCGATTCTTCCTCAAATCCATGCGCCTTTACCATACATTGGCATCGAGAACACAATCTATCCCAGAAAGAGTTCATGGGATTCACGGGAATGAGGTCAGACAACATAAGGAATTTCTCAATGACACACAGGAAAATCTTCCCTGTAAATGAAGCAAAATGTGCTTCTCTATATCATTGGCACAAAGAATTCATCACCAGAAGATATTCTGACGGTGGTTCCTCGAAATTGAGCAGGACGAGATATTCGAATCAGGAGGAGTGGAAGACTGATGATCCAACAGACGCAAATAAGAACACCACATTTCACGATTCGAACTAAAACATACAAAGATATTGAATACATCCCACGGCTTCGATATCAAATAACCGATGAATCGGAGCAAAGTCAACAGTTTATTTGTAAACGCAAAGAACCAAGGAAGAAACATCACATGCACCCAGTGACGGCAACATTTTTACAGCAATCGAGACTTCGGATCGTATACACAAAGTCGAAGCACTGATTTGCACACTCGAGGAAACAAAAGATGGAACACATTAGGGTTCGTTGAATCACGCGTGTTTTACTGACGATGACCAAACCAACAACCGGACACGGAATTTTGAGGTCTATTAACGGCCGTCAGTTAGTGCAAGGGACTTGGATTTGACCCTTCGTCGATGACTTCCTTCTAACCCCATCCCTCTCGTCCACACTCCTCCTCCGACATCTCCACCAAACCGTCGTAGGTAAGTTTCATTAATGGTTACATCAAAGTCCCGTGGTTCCGTGCACTTCCAGCACTTAGTTTCCATGTCGACATTGACATCCAAGTTGGCAGCGGCCGACACATGGCGCTCACTGGCGTATCCAGGTGTCTCTGTTCGAGCTGGGATGTACAGCTCTGCTTGGGACGATCTGCAATCACATCAGCAGATAGAAGGACAATCGACTCGTCGATCCGAAGGTCCAACGATAAACGAAACTATGGACTCGTGGTGGCAAATCTCTTAGAGAGTTCCATCGACTTTCATCGAGGAAACGGCAGGTTCGAAAGGAGGCCCAACATCGGAAGATACTTCATCCAGGAAACGAAAAATTGTGTACTACCCACGATAGATATTTATGACGTATAGTTGAAGAACTGTCAACACACCGAGGTCTCCCCATTAAACTACACCAGGCATGAACAAAATGTCACATCACATAATCTAATCAGCCCGCCGCCCCCACATTCTTGTCACAACTAATGCAATGTGCACAACTTCCACGTGAACCGCTGGAGACTGAAAACATTCCGCCATTAAATGAAAACTTGAGGTTGTCTAACGCAACTAGAAACTTTATCTACACATAAGCACTTACAATTTGAATCTTTACTTCCGATTTTTATGCTCTCAAAATTTTGCTTATACAGATTAATAATTTTGATGCATACCACTCGCCCCAATCCATGTGATACTTTTATTAACAATGTGCATGATTATTGGGTTCTTAATATTGATGTTATTGATATCATCGAATTTTGTAGACTTTACTATAAATATTAAAATATTTATCACTGCACAATGCATCCATAGTTGTTCTCATTATAATATGAAGATACGAAAGTCTCATGGATGTAGCTACTTAGCTTGGCTTATTTCTCATGGGCCGATTGGTAGCTACAAACTCCTCTTGACTAAGACTTTTAATTGCATAATAAACTCAATGTTCACAATATACTTTTGTTATGTCAAAACTTATTGCTATGAAAGTCCACATATTCTAATTAAGCATCTCAAGATTGTAACAACTCCAAAAGACTAGATGCAAAAAAAACATCAACTTGATATTGTGGTTTCAACGCTTGTTTTGTAGTCAGGTTGTCACATATACACAAAACAAATCTCAAATTATCCTAGCGACAAAGTGTCTCTCATTATCTTGGAGTATCTTTGAGTGAACAATCAACTTTGATTACTTCTTTGATGATACCACTTTTAGCTCTTTCTGCTACTAGAACTGCACCACTCGAAATTTGTGGCGACTTGTAATGCATTATTTCAATCTAAACCAGATTTCAAAAAAAAACTGCAATTTTGAAAAATTTTGAAAAAAAATCTGTTAATTATGACTTTCCAATCTTAATCTGTTACTTATTATTATTATTTTCAAAATTCATCCCAATCTTGCATTTTGGACTTTATACCAACTTCAAAGGACTAGCTTGCATTATAAATTTATCCAAACAGGTGAAAATGTTAAGATTTCAACAAGCTCTGATTTGTAAGCCTTCTTTTAACAGCTAAATCATTTTAATGAAAGATCTCCCAAACCTTGAAATATTTTTTAAGATTTGAAATCTATTCTAACCCCTAACAATAAGTTTTGATGATGCAATTTTTAAATTTGTATCAACTTTTAGTTAACATATAGTCTCCAAAATCCGTAGACTAGATTAAGACTATATGTAATCAAAAGATTAAAAAATCAAATCAAAACTCAATCATAAACTCTTTCACAATCAACTCAAATTGTTCAAAAATCTTACAATGCTCTTACAATTACATGAAACTTTTTTTTCATCTACATTTTGAATCAATTTTTTTATTGAAAAAATTAATTTTTTCAGTCTTCATTAATGTTGTTATTTAATATCATTTTATTTAAATTTTTAACCCTTTATTCTTAAAAGATTTTTTAAACTTCAACAAAAAAGCTTTTCTTAATTTTAATAATAATTTATAAATTTTTTTATCATTTTTTATCATCACTCAGTTTTTGAATTATTTTTTCCAGTCATTATTTTTATATTTTCAATTAATTTATCATTTTTAGTCAAAAGATAAATTATATTAAGTTTTTACTTTGTATATTTACTTCATTTAGACAAAAAATTATAACATAAGATATATTAAAATTTTTTTTCCTTATATATGACACTTTGCCGGATTTTAACTACTTTGCTTCAATATATAATCAAAAGGAATATTTTTAATAATTTCTTTAGAAATTTTAACTTTTATTTTATATATATTCAGTTCAGCATTCTATCATCTTTTCAGATAATTCTTCACTTTTATCATTATTTTGTACCTATGTATAATTCCATGTTTATAGTTTTTTTTTTTCATTTTCATCAATTCATAAATCATTTATAATCATGATTTTTTCATTTTTAATCAGTTTTTGAAATCAACTAATTACGAACTTGAATAAAAGAAGCATTTATATTTCATCATTTCAAACCACTTTGTATTACTAGTTGTTTTTTATCATCATTTTGAATTACTTGATGGTTATTTGAAATCATACTTATTATTTTGTATCAAAATTTTATCTTTATTTGAAGTCAATTTGTAGTAGTAGTTTATCATTAGAATAGATAAAAAAATTTGAGTTGATCAAGAGTTTTTACAATCATTTGAGTTACTTCAAATTATTTTTTGTTATGTTATCATACATATAAAACGATTCATATATTTTTAGATGGTAATACTGAATACAATATTATTATAAAATTCAGTATGTAGAGAGAGAGAGTAATGTTAAATGTGAAGCAAAAAATTACAAAAATATTTATAATAATTTTACACTTTCTTATATGGATTTTATCAACATGTAAGAGATAAAGTTTTAATATGACCATCCATTTTGCTACTAGTAGATTAATGACATTGTGGATATATCAAATAAGCATAAGAATTGATGTTGTATTTCTTTCAATTAACATATCTTTGTTTTACTTATAAATACATGAATCGTTGCTGTGATGATTATTAATATTATATTCATTATAAATAAACTTCTTTTTCATCTTGAGTAATATTTATTTGTAAAGTAATCAAAAGTATTACAATTTTTGTCGTTTTGAGATTTTATTTTTTTTGTGCATGTATGTTACTCGAAATTTTATGATTAGATTAATTGAAAAACTAATCAATAATAGATAATAGTTATGACTAAGTTTAGCTATCAAGTTTATAGTTCACAAAAGTATTAAAATCTTTCTGAAGTATATGTATTAGCATGAGTTATTTGTTTCCAATCAAAGTTTAGATTTCAAGTTAATTATGGTTTGTTTGATTGAAATTAAAACAATAAAACTTTCAAAACCGCAAGGATAAATTACTACTTCAATTTCAGTTAATTTTTTTTTTCAATTTGATCTAAACAACTTTATAACATATTGTCTTGTAATATATTTCATGAAAATGAGCCATACTTATCAAGATTAATCTTAGTGAAAATGTTAGATAGTAATTATTATGAATCAACATGATAATTTTTCAAATAGTATAAATAAAAAGGTAGACATAATCAAGCATATTTGAAGAGAGTTTTGTCTAAAAACTTTCATCAATGAAGACTTTTGATTTGTTAAGTCTTTAATTCTTCATCCATCTAAAATACTTGTTGAATCTTCAATAAGATAACAAATATTTCATAAACTTTCAATATAAATCAGTAAGTAAATTAATATTAAATAACTCTCTAATTTTTAAATGTTTTAAATTATTTTCACTATCACTTGAATTTCTTTATTTATGATAATGTGATTCAAATAATCAAAATCTAATTTTCCAAAGTCATATTTTCATGGATTGTTTACAATTTGATGTTTTTGATATGATATGTTGGTCTTGAATATTATCAAATATATGTAAGGTGTTATGCAAGAAGAAATTATATGCTAAAGCTTCAAAATATGACTCTGGAAAATTAGAGTTTAATTATTTCAATTTATAAAATCATAATCTAATGAATCCAAGAGATATTAAAAAATAACCTAATAAAAAATTAATTTTTGTGCATGTTTTCATATCCACGTTCAGTTTAATTTATGACACTTCCCAGACTCAAAAGTATCATATACATCATGTTTTAGAATGTATCAATCAAGTTATCTATAATATATAATGCATATTTATTTTTGATTGTTTGCTCATTCAATCTAAGATAACTAAACCATAATCTCATACTTTTGTACGTCTTTGTTAAAAATAACATAGGTGCTTCGTAATATGAAACATTTGGTTAAGCAAATTCTTAATTCAACCTTTGCATTTTTCCAACTCATGCAAAGGCAAAAAATATATAGTCTTGCAAGTAATTGTGCTTTCATATATAATTTAAATCTTAATATTGATGCATTTTTTGAGTGATAAATTGAAGGTAGATCACATTAAAAGAACATGTTTGTATGATGTAAAAATGTTGTTTCAAAAATACAAAATGTATCATTTTTCTTTGAATTCAACAATTTTTTTCATAAATTAAGATAAATAAAAATTATCATTAATTATAGTTATTTATCATCAATCATAAAGAAAACTTAATTTTGATTTGAAATGAATTTTAATTTTTCATAAATTTCATTATCATATTTTATCATTTTTGTCAATGTAATATTTGATTTATAATTTTAATTATGAAATATGAATATAAGAAAAATTTTTATTCAATTTATATTTTAATATAATCTTTGAATTATTTCATTTTTTTAGTTTGATAATATATTTCTTTAATCATGTATTTGATTATTTATAATTTTAGTTCTATAGCAATTTCTAATGATTATGTAACCATCTTTAGTTAGTTAGAACTAAAGTAGAGGTTACTCTGAATATGGATGTAGATACTTTAGTGTGCACTAGTCATAGTTGCCACATCAGCGATCCGCGCACTTGGTAGGTACAGAGTGGATGTGTTAGTTGACAGTGGCACGTCAGCAATCCGTGTGCTTGTAGGTAAGGATTGAGTGTGTTAGTTAGTGTGTTAGTTGGGTGCGCCACGTCAGCGATCCGTGTGCTTGTTAGGGTTATCCGCCACGTCATCCATCCACTAGGAGTGGGATGGATGGTGGGGATTAGATCTTATCACCTTGTACTTGTTGGTGAGAGCTATATAAGGGAGAGGAGAACCATTGTTGGTATCTCTCATCTTCAGAGTTTACGTTTCTATCTTCGAGTGAACTTCTCTCTAAACCCTAGTGTTACAATGGTATTAGAGCGACCTTGTTCTTTCCTTGAGTGTGGATTACCCCTCATGGAATAGCAAGTGAGTGATGATGGAGTGTAGTCTTGAGAGTGTATAGAGGCTGGCAGAGGTCATTCATTTGCATGTAGAGAGAGATGGAAGGGGGAAATTGTGTTTTTGCAGATATGGACGGGATTGACAGGAATCCAGTACC